CCAGGGAAGGGAAGGGCCGGGGCGGGGCTGGGGACCTCACGGAGCTGCCTGTGGACTGGCTTGGGGTTTCTCAGATGACACCAGAGGGAGCATGGAAGGGGAGCCTTTCCTTGCAGGCAGGCAGCAAGGGGAAAGCTAGCTGTTCCCTCAGAGGAAGGGAAGCCCTAAGACACTCTGTCCTGTCACATTCCTGGTCCCTGAAGACCTTCACCTGGGGAGCAGAAGTGGTGCGTGGAGAAGGGGGTGCGTGGCACACTCACCCACGTAACTGCGAGTACCCGCAAACGCTCGCCGACGTCCCCGGAACACATGGCCAGGCGCCACCGGAGCCGCGTCCCCTCTGCCGCGCTCCGACCTCGCACACACACACACATGTCTCCGCTCACCGGGCGATGTTAACATCTCATTATCTTTGTTACTGTAATTACATTATCCGCTGCTTTATGCAGAATTATTCTCCGAGGACTAATTGATGGCTCCATGTTTAATTCATTAATCATTAGCATCAAATTCGACAATTACAGTGCACACTGATTGTGGGATTGCAGGCGTAATGAGGGGAGAATTAACAAAGAAAAGGGAAAGCGCTTTCCCTCCCTCGGGGTTTTGGGTTGGGGGGCTTGAGGAGGAACTTGGGCCTGTGCTGTCTTTGGGTGGGGCTGGGGGGAGGGGGGAATAAGGTCTGGAACCCAGGGCTGGGGAGGAGATGGAAGCAGGCGAGGGGTGGCGAGAAGCACAGCATCTGAGAAGTTTGAGACCCTAGGCTGCTCCCCTGGAAGGTTTCCTGATGGGGGGTCGGTGCGGGGAGATCCCAAGAAAGGCTAAGTTTGCAGGGACCTGTTAGGCAGGGTGGGAGGGGCTGGCACAGGTGCCACACGTATGTTAATGAGCACTTAACTGTGTGTCTGGTCCTGCCTGGGGTGTTATGACAGATACAAGAGAAACACAAAACCCGCCCCCACCATTCAGTCTCGTGCCGTCCCCGGAGCGGCCTGTTCCCTTTACCTTCTAGTGGCTTCCGCGCATCTTCCTGTCCCTTGGATTCCAGAAACTTCACCCTTGTGCTTGCGGGGCTGGTCCGGGGCCTGGTGTCGGCCGTTCGCCACTCCCTCCAGCTTGTTCAGCTTCAGGGCTCATCTCTGCCTGTCACTAACGCCGGGCACCCGGCCAGCTGCCCAGCTTTCAGTGCAGACCTCCCTCGGCCCTGGCCTTCTGGCTTCAGGCCCCACCCTGTCTCAGGTCGGCTGAGGTGAGAGGGCAGTGTCGCTGTCCGCGGCCGGCCCTGAGGCCCGGGGGCCGTTGCCACCATCTCCCCACGGGTGCCTCGGGCCCGGGGAGGGTGCACACTGCCGCCCCCGCCGCCCCAGGCTTGGCGCTCCTGGAGCCTTCCGTTCCCCTGGCTCTGCTGTTCTTCCCCGATGGGAAACGAAAGATTAATTTTCTCCAGCCCCAGAGGATAATTACTAATACTAATTAGACATAATTACTTGAATTTGATACACTTATTCCTCGTCAGAATGGCAGCAAAGCTGAGGCACGGCAAATGGCATACGTGGCCTGGAACGGGGTTCGGGGCCTGGCCAGGAGGGGCAGGGGCTGGGATAGCGGGGGAGCAGCTCGGCAGTGATGGGGGGGACTGTCCCACTCACCCAGCTTCTGGCTCTTGATCACAGGGAGGGGACAGAGGCGTGGACCCTGGTGTTCATGGAGACAAGGGGGGGTGTGAAGTCTGGGCCCATGGGAGGCCTCCGGTTCTCCAGTGATCCTGGCCCGGTGCCTGGTGAATCCAGGAGCCCCTCATCCTGGGTCAGTATCCTGCTGGGATTTCTCAAGCTCTGCCCCCGTAGCTGTACTTTCAGGAAAGTCTCTGTGGGTGCCCTTCCCCCGGCCTCCCCTCCCAGTCTGACCCTTCCGCCCCCCCCCACCACCAGGTGCCCCCCACTCGGCCAGCAGCCCAGCCTGGGCCGGCCCGCGCCCAGAGGGGCTGCATCAGCGCTCCTGCTCTGTTTCCAGCGCCGACCAGTGGAGTGAGGCCGCTGCCCTGCCCCCAGGTATGCAGGACCCGGTGAAGCCGCAGTGGAGGGCAGCCGGGGAGGCCGAGATGGGCAAGGCGGCGCGGCGGAGCCCTCCAGGGCTTGTGGCAGAGCCGGTGCCATGCCTGGGGCATGGAGTTGGGGTGGCTTCCCCTGTGCTGTCCCCAGGCCTGTGCCAGCGGTTGGCGCTAGAGACCCTCCCTCTGCAGCTCCCTGCCCGCCCACCGCTGTCCCCAGGCGGCGCTGGCGGCGGCGTCGCATCCCCATCAGCCCCCTGCGCCGCCAGCTCATCAGTCTCTCTGCGGGGTGGGTGGGTGGGGGGCCGGTGCCGGGGAGCGGCTGAGTGGGGAGGTCGGAGGCTGGGGGCCTGAAACACGTTCCCA